TAACTCTGGGGCCTGGGCACTGGGGGTGGGGAGATCCAGTGTATGAGTGCTGGGTGTCAGCACCCCACCCAGGTAGGGTGGCCCTGGGTGAGGCTGCCACTGGGAGGAAGGTTGTTCTGGGCGCTGCTCTGGGGCTCTAGACAGGAGCTGAAAATGGGCTTTCCTCAAAGATGCTACTCTTAAAAAAAGGGGAGGTTCCTTCCTCCACTCTCCTGGCGATGGCCCCCTGGGTGCCCTCTGGAAGTTTTGATCTGCTCCCCCCCACCCCCTCCGGACCTGCAAAGGGTTTCGGCATCGGCTCTTGCCGAGTTTCAGCCCAATGGAACAGACCTGCTGCTGTGGCGTGGATTCTGAAGCCTGGCCACTCCCAAACGCTACAGGGTAGAACACAGGACTGTCCTGGCTGTAGTCTCACCCGTCCGAAAAGTCAGCAGTTCAAAACCACCAGCCGCTCCACGGGAGAAAGACGGGCCTTTCCACTTCCTGGTCTGTCTGCTGCTGGAGAAGCCACCAGCCTTGCGGTCACTGGGCAAGCATATGGCCATGTGCTCCTTCCAGGGGCAGTGGGGTCATAGAAGTGAAAGGTTGCTGGGTCTCCCCAGCTCAGAACTTTTCATGAGACTGCCTGCTCGGCGCTCTGGAGTCACCAGGGAGGGAGCAGACCAGCTTGACTGGGGCCCAGTCCCTTCGAAGGCCTGAGGGAGCCATGTGACCACGAACCTTTGGCAGGGCATGAGTAGGGACCGTTGGTCCTTAGAAAGTAGCATTGGGATTGTAGAGAGTAGATGCTGGAGTTACCCCGGCTTGCCCTTGGTGGGTGTGGGGTGATGCCCCTTGGGGCGGGGAGGTGGACCTGCATCTGAGGTGGGTAGGTTTGGGGATGGTGTGAGTTTTTGACCTTGATGAACCAGAGAGGAATGCCTGACATCCTTGGAGATGTCCTGGGGCCACCAGAGAAGAAAGGGTCAGAGCAGGTGCCCTTGGGAATCTGGGGCACTGAGGTTTGGAGCTCTGGGGAGGCAGTCAAGGCTGGAGTCTCCTGAGGATGGTGGAGGCAGAAGCTGCAGCCATCTTCAGTGGAGTCTGCTTTGAATGGCTAACCACAAGGCCAGCTGTTCGAACCTGCCAGCCATTCCCTGGGAGGAGGAGGAGCTGTCGACTTCCGTAAAGAGTTAGGGATGGTTCCACCATATCCTGTCGGGTCCCTATGAGATGGAATCCACTTGATGGCAGGGAGTTGAGTGAGTGAGCGACAGGAGGACAGGCTGGGGTGGGTTTCTACTCAGAGGGAGCGTGATGATCCGGGAGGGGATGAATAGAAGCCACACTTCTATTTGTAGTGACCAGACCCTGCTGAGCGGCCCTGTTGTGTGTTCTGTGGTGCCTGAACTGCCGTGAGCAGTCTCCCCAGATGCATGTGACCTCCTGGGCCTCCTAGGAGACTGAGGAGGCGGCCAGGGGTGCTTGTCATGCACACTTGGACAGCGAGGAAGAGATGACGGGAGGGATGGGAGTGGTTTGGTCAGGGCAACTCTGCTGTTGTCCATCTGAGCATGGGAAGTGGATGATGCCTGAGGCTCTGTGGCCATTGCTTTAGGGTGAGGCCAGGAGTGTGGTGGTTTCCGGGCACCATTGGGCATCTCAGGTGCAGTCCCACGGGGGTGGGTTTTTGGCCAGAGCCACCCACCCTCCTGGGCTCCAGGTGCTGAGGAATTGGGAGAAGACAGCAGTGACCACCCAGCTGAGTTCTGCAGGGGGGAGGGGGGAGGCGGTGAAGGGGGACCCTTGCTGAGGATGGCCAGCCTTGACTCTGGTTTCAGAGGCAGGAGGCCGGCTGGCCTCAGGGTGAGCCGCTCTGTACCTCGGTTTCTTCATCGTCCTGTTATGAGGACCAGCTGAGTGCACCTCTGTAAAGAGCAGGTGCTGAGAGTGCCTGGGGCTGGTGACCAGGGCTGACAGCGGGGACACCTCTCTCCCAGCGGTGGTGGGTGAGGTCTCTACTCTCGGTTGCCATGCTGGGAGCCGTGGTGAATGCTGGGTTGGCCACAGTCGGCTGTCCTGGGTCCACGGTCTGGTGCAGTAGAATTCTGAGACCCTCCGCTAGGAGATCAGCCAAGCTAACGGAGCAGAACCTGAGTGGCTGAGTGCCGCTGACAGCATCTTACTTCCCAGGACTGCTGGGCCAAAGGACCACAGCTGCGTGCATGGTTGTCGTAAGTGCTTTTGAGTTGGCTCCAACCCATCGCGACGCCGCCCACAACGCAGCGAAACACTGCTGCGCAGTCCTGCGGCATCCTTGCAATTGTTCAGATGCCTGAGAGCCCATTGTCAAAGCCACCGTGTTAAATCCATCTCTTGGAGAAGCTCCCTCTTTTTTGCTGCCCCTCCACCTTACCAAGCACCACGCCCTTCTCCAGGCTCTGGTCTCTCCTGACCACACGTCCAAAGTCCGTGAGACAGAGTCTCAGCATCCTTTCCTCCAAGGAGCACTCCGGCCTTGCTTTTCCCAAGACAAAGGGGCTTGTCCTTCTAGCAGTCCATGGTGCGTCCCATTTTCTTCTCTAGCACCACGTGGCTGGGTGGGTGTGTTACGCTGGGTAGACTAGAGAAACAAATCCATATACCTCGTGTGTGTGTGTGTGTGTGTGTGTGTGTGTGTGTGTGTGTATAAGAAAGAGGTTTGTACACAAGAGCAGTTGAATAGTGAGGAAACATCCCAGCCCAGTCCAGGTAAATTCTGTAAGTTTGATATTAGCCCATGTCTGATACCAATCTGTGAATTCCTCTTCAGACTCACGGAACACTTGCAATGACGCCGAATGCAGGAAAATCACAGGCCAGTGGGTGGGAAGTCTTGTGGGTCCAGTGGCGTTATAAGCATCTTAGCACTGGCAGGGGTCTCCACGTGGCTTCTCCGGTTCAGAGGTCTGGCTCCAACACCCTCTCTCCATGTGTCTTCTCCACAGGAATGTCTCCCAGGGAGTGAGCATGTGTCTTCTTAGTGCCTCCATATGAGGTCATGGAGCTACTACCTGATTGACAGGCTAGACTCCACCCCTTCACCGTGAATCCTAAAATTGACACCAGATTATCTAACTACCACAGTGGGCTATAAGAACATAGGTGTAGGGTCTCCCCATCCTGAGGCTGGGAGAGGGAGAAGGTGGTCCTGCCTCTCTCCCTGCCCCCCCACCCCCGGCAGATAGATGCAGCTTCCCAGGTCATCCTGCCTCTGCCCCTGCCCCTGCTCTCACTCAGCACCCCACTCCGTTGGCACCAGGACCTTCCCTCCTTCAAAGACCCTAGTTCCCAACATGACTACCTCAGGGGAGCCAGGGACCAGGATGTTGGCATCTCTCTTTGGGACACACAGCTCAGTTCCATCCATAACAGCCCATGTTTGGCGGGTGGGGGGGGGGAGAGCTCCAAGGCTAAGACTGAGTTTGCCAGAAAGCGTGCCTGACATTGTACAGAGTGGGAGTGAGCCAGCCCCCCCACCACACACACACACTTTAAAACCTAGCAGCCCTGGCCTTCAGTGATTAACAACTTCTCCCTCCTCCTCAAGGCTGGGAAGGTGCCTCACCTCAGGCAGTGGGGAGGGTTCTTGGGAGGCAGGTGGCTCTTATCAGATTCCTTTGAGTTGATAAGGCAAATGGTCTTGAATGCCCCTTGGTCCTTCTCAGTTTACAGAGGTGCCAGCTCAACTTTCCACTGTGGGGTGAGGGGCCTTGGGACCCAAGGGTTTCCCTTTGGGCCGCCAGCCTGGCTTGTTTCACTTGCTTTACACCGGGGCAGCGGGCAGCATGGGTAGACAGGCCTGCTCTTCAGGAGAGAAGCCAGGGTGGAGTCTGGAAACAGCCCTGCCCTCACCGGAGGCGGCTGCGAGCTCAGGGCTATGACGTCCTTGGGAGGGGGGGGTGAGCTTTCAACTCGTTCTTTTAATGGATGATGAAATGGACCGTTGCTGCCACACCATCCACGACTCGTTGGCAACCCCCATGTGTTCGAGCCGACCTGCGCCCCCTGGCGGTTCCCACGGGGCTGCCTTGACCCCCTGGACGAACTCGAACCTCCAACCTGTGGGCTGGCAGCTGAGCTGGGTCACTGTTGGCACCAGCCAGGGCCTCAGTTGAGTGGATAATGCGATCAGGCCATAGTTGGTATGGCCAGCTCTCCCCGTGGTGAGACGTGCTGTGTCCTTCCCACTCAGGGACATTCTGATCACCAGCCTGGACGCAGCTATCACCTTCGAAGAGCTCTGTGAGGACGTGCGGGAGATGTGCCGCCTGCACCAGGGCCAGCCACTCACCCTCAAGTGGATTGACGATGAAGGTAGCCCTGCGGGACCCCTGCATTTCTTTACCACCACCACCCCCCAGTCTCTCTTCAGGACATTGGAGATTGGTTGCCAGTGATGTGGCTGAGTGTGGTGTTGGGTTGGGGTTGTGCGGATGGGCCCTGGGACACCCCCCATCTCACCCCCCCTCCCCGTTGCTGAGCCCCATGCCTTTCCCCCCTCGTCTGACCTTCCTTCCTCCTCATCTGGCTTTTTCCAGTGGTGACTGGGACACAGGGACCCTGCATTATCTCAGGAAATGCGGGGAGGGTAGGGGAGTGCAGCCAGGGCCCGGCCCCCCTCACCCTCTGTCTCTCTCTTTCCCTCTCTCCTGGGTGGGGTGGGGTGGGGGTGGTGTGTGCGTGTGTTTCCCTCCCCTCCTGTCTCTGTGTCACTTCCTTCCTTTCGTCTTTCTTTCTCTTTCTCCCACCCTCATTCACGAGTTGCCTCCCCCCACCCTCCCCATAGCTCCAGGGCCTGGGAGAGGCATTATTTATAGGGGCTGGTTCTGCAAGCCAATGGTGTTCTGTGGCCTCAAGGCCATCAAATCCCTCCCTGCTCACTGGTCACTGGAACACCTCCCCTCCGGGTTTTAAACTGGATGGAGCCTTTTATTCTCTCCATTCGCAAAGCCGCACGGAGGAGTATTTTTAATGGAGTGAGGACTGCCCCATCATCTAAGTTTGGTGGCTGTCCGCCTAGCAGGAATGCCCCTTTGGGCGTGGAGCAGGTTGTGGGGCGTGGCCTCCCGGAAAGGTAGAGCTGAGCTCCCGAACTTTGCAGATCAGCATGGTGTCCCAGAGGCTGAGATGCTGGTTTTGTATTGGAGGTGCTGAGGGTCGGAGGATGGAAGGGCGGTGCTCTCTGAGCAGGGCTCTGACAGACAGACAGGTAGTGGGGGGTGGGGGGTAGGGAGGGTAACTACTCCACAGAGCCATGTGGAGGTGCTATATCTCTAAATGCACACAGGTGCACACATGAGCGCAAATGGGTAGAAGTCAGGTTTTCAGCAGCAGCCACCTTTCAGCAAAGTCCCAGGCCCCTGGGCCCTTCTGTCTTCTCTGTAGCAAGGGGCCACTCGAACGAACCATTGGTTGTGGACACTTCCTGTCCAGGAAGCAAGGGGAGAAGGCCTCCTAAGACTGACCAAAGGAGGCTGTTGTAGTTTTGTTGTAGTATTGTTGGCTGCGCAGGCCAGGAGTTCCCCACTCTGGGTTGCCCGGGTGCAGGGTGGACACAGTTCCCCCTGCTAGGGCCTCAGGTGGCTGGGCGCTCTTGCTCATTCCTCGAGTTCTGGGTGGGGACACATTGCCTGCCTGAGCTCACACCGATGGGGCACCCCCGCTGCCCTGCCTGCCTCAGCTGTGTCTTCTACCCCACCCAGGCGACCCCTGCACCGTGTCCTCCCAGATGGAGCTGGAGGAGGCCTTCCGCCTGTCCGGTCGGTGCAAGGACGAAGGGCTCGTCATTCACAGTGAGTGACCTGCGAGTGGGAGAGGGCACTGCTCTGCCCCTGTGGGCCTGCTGTGGGCGGCAGTTCAACTCGTCACCCCTCGGGAGAAAGATGAGGCTGTGTGCTGCCAGCCTCGGAAACCCACGGGGGCAGCTTTACCCTGCTGTCAGGTGGCTGTGAGTTGGAATGAATGAACTTGATGGCAGCAGGGCTGTTGGGTTTTTGCTTTTTCCCGTCGGTAGAGAAAAAGATTGTTGTTGCTAAATATGAAAACTCCGGTGTCCTGTACAGCACTTAATTTTGAACTCTGTCTGGACTGTAGAGAAATTGGTTTTAAAGCGCTTGTAAGAATCATTTTTCAAAGTCGTTGCCGCTCTTTGCTGATTTCCATAGCAATTTATTCTTAGCACAAGTCGGTTGGTAACTTTGCTATCCTGAATCCTCAGTTGCTTCCCGCCCCACCCCCTGCCTCCCACCAAATATTTTAACGTACTTTGGAGTCTCATCAAGGGGAATCGGCCTACAGAGATGTCCTTGGGGGTCTGACCTGTTGTTTTAGAGAACCTCTCCCAAGAGCCGCTGCTTGCTGACAGCTTAGAGCAGTGGTTCTCCACCTTCCTAATGCCGCGACCCTTTCACACAGTTCCTCATGTGGTGGTGACCCCCCAATCGTAACATTATTTTCGTTGCTACTCTATCACTGTCATTTTGCTACTGTGATGAATCAGGTGACCCCTGTGAGAGGGTCGTTTGACTCCCCCTAAAGGGGTCACCACCCACAGATTGAGAACAGCTGGCTTAGAGCCTCCTGTCAGTGGGTTTCTGGTCCACCTCCTGTAGGGTGGGCTTGTGGTGGGAGCTTGGGCATCCTCGGGCCGGCCGTGGCAGCACTAACACTCTCCCTTCGCCCACAGTGTTCCCCAGCATCCCCGAGCAGCCCGGCATGCCCTGCCCAGGAGAGGACAGTGAGTACCACTGGCTCCTTCCTCGTCTATGGCGAGCGCTGGGGGCCTGAGCTGGGCGCGTGTGGTGTGTGTTGACAGGATGAGATGCTGCTTCCTGGCGAACATGATGTGGGGCCGGGATCCTGTGGGAATTCAGATCCAAAGGTGGCTCAAGCCCTAGGTGGGGCACCCTGGGCCTGGCCCTGGTCACTTTCCTCGGTCTTGCGGATGATCTCGGTGCTGTGCCCGTCAGCGGGGACGGGAGGGCTGGCACTGTTGGTGGCGTAAGGAAAACCTAGCTATGCCCTGGCCCTTCCCCTCCAGGACAAAAGGTCCAAGCTGAGAGGACTGGACCACTTTCTTATCTGTCTGCCCCGGCTCTGTCCACCCCCTGATCTGGTCATCTGTATCCAGTGACCACTGTGCTGTCCCCAGTCTGCACCAATTCCATGTTTCTCTGTCGGTCTCTTGGTACGAGGTGGAAATGCGATGGGAATCCAGAGCAAGTGGGTCAGAGGAACTTTCTGACCTGACTTCTGCCTATCCCAGAAACCTCTGGGCCATGAGCTCTCGGTGGAGGGGAGCACTGTGTCCTGGGTTTTCCTCCAGGGCAGAGCACTGAGTCTCCCACTGACCCGCCCGGGCCTGCTGGCCTTGGTCACAGTGCTGTCTGAGTCTGTCCTGGTAGTCTTGGGACCCTGATGGTCACTCATTTGGTGCAGCGACTTGTCGGCTCAGTCCCCTTTCCCAGCAGAGGTTCCCTAATCTGGCTCCAGGGAGGACTGTTGGTCAGCCCTCCTACCCAGTCCCCCAAACTCCCCGCCCCACTGAGGTGCTGACCAGGAGCCGGGGTTGGCAGGCTTGGGCTGAGGTACGTCTGAGCTGCCCGCTGGACATCTGGTGGTGGGGCTGAGTGCGCAGTCAGGTGTGTGCTTGGGAGACCTTGGGGATGAAGATGGAGCTCTGTGAGGTCCCCAAAAGGTGGCTGGTGATGTGGCTTGGCTCTACCCCCACCCCCCACCGAATGGGCATTGGGTGGGAGCGGCCACTGAGCTGCTGAGGGGGGGCAGCGGGAGTGCTCTGAGAGGAGGTGTGGAGAAACTGGGATGAGAGTGGGAGCCGGAGCGGTGGAGGAGGACACAGACTCTTCGGCCCTGGTCTCTCATCCCGCACCCAGTGGGGAGACTGGTGGCCGGCAGGTTAAATAATAAACAGGCACTCCCAGTGGTGCACAGACACCTAGGGCAGGGTTAGGTTAGGCAGCTGGGGTGGAGGTGGTGTGGAGGGGGGGTGTTGGGAAGGCAAAGAAGGAGGGGAGGAGGAGGAAGCACTTTCCAGTCAGGGCTACTGTCCTGTCCAGGTCCAGGTTGCCCTAGACACTAGAGTGTGCCATTGTGCTTTGAATGGAAGTGACTTGCAGCTGGCAAGGTGTGAGGCCTGAAGCTATTTATAAGGCGGGTCCTGCAGGGGTGCCATGGAGAGGCAGGTAGGTCAGGCCGGCGCAGGGCTGCAGGTGAAGCTGATCCCTGTCCCCAGGCAGCAGGGGGCAGAGGAAGCCTGGGCTCAGTTGGGTTTCAGAGCCTTCGTCCCCCTAGGGCCGCCTGTACTGGTGACGCCCCTATGTGTGGAGTCACCTGGTTTGCAGAGGTGAGGTGGGACCATCCTGCTCCCCTGGGAACCGCCCTTGGGGGTCCAAGTCTCGGCAGATGGATGTGCCCATAGATGGGCATCCTTGAACTTGACAGTCACGAAGTCACATGCCCATGTGGGTACAGAGGAGATAAGATTGCCTCCCCCAGGTGGGCACGGGCCTCCTCTCCAACACACATGCCCCTGACATACTGAGGTCACAGGAGGGATGCCCGACAGCCTTTTGGCGGCTAGGACCCTGCATTGGTGTCTCTGCGCCACCTTGTACCTTGAACCACTTGTACCCAGAGATGTCACTGGCCAGCTTTGCCACCCCACGGGGCACAGGGAGCCACATGCGTCACTTCCGAGCCTGCCTGCGTTAGCATGTGTCCCAGTTTGTGCCCTCTGCCTGCCGTCTCTGCTAACACACTCTGTCTCTGAGGGAGGGTCAGCTGTGCCTGCCCATGACTCTGCTTTGCACCGACCTCCTTGGGAGCCAGCCACTTCTGTCCCTGCAGAGCAGAGGTGGGACACAAGAGGCCACGGGGTACCTCATGAAGGGTCTCTGCTGAAGGTGAGGATGTGGGTGAAGCTGCCATCCCTGGGCAGGCATTCTGAGAATTTGAGTTGACCTCTAGAAGGAGTGCAGGGAGCAAATACTCAAGTCAGTCCAGTGACCACTCGGTGTCCCGGAGAACATTCCATACCGGCAGCCGCAGAAACAAGAATGTGCTTGGAGCACATGCAGACGAAACCACGTGATTTGAAGCATCCGTCATGGTAGCTGGGTCGAATGACAGCTCTGGCCAGCACATGGCTGTTGTTGTCTGGTGCCCACTCATAATGAGCCCGGGCACTGGGCCTGCACGGACCTCACAACTGTGATGTCTGGGCCCGTGATTGCGGCCACTGTCAGTCCATCGGATCTTTTTCACCCTCCCCCCCTCGGTTTTACCAAGTGTGATGTCCTTATCCATGGACCGGTCTCTTCTGATAAGCCGGAAGGACGGGGATGACGTCTCAGCACCCTCCCTTCTAGAAGGAGCTCGCTGGCTGTGCTTCTCCCAAGACAGCTCCGCTGCTGGCTGTCCAGTGGTCTTGGCCAGCACTGTGATTCCAGTGCACCGGTTCTTTGTCTTCATGCTACCTGCTTGCACATACGCAGGAGGCAGTTGAAATTGTCATGACTTGGGTTAAGTGCAATTTGGAAGCTTCCAATGGGAAAGGAGGCAAGAGTTTTAGTTTATAGGCATATTGATACATTTAAGTTGGGCTTAAGAAAAGAGTCTTTTTTTGTTGTTACTAACTTACAGAGATATTTTAAAAAAACCAACAACCCCACAAATATATGAGGGGGGATTCTAAAAGTGCACAGAAAAGGTTCCATTCTCCTTTCATTCCATTTTTCCAGGAACTTTTGGAAGCCCCTCCCGTTTGTAAATTTCAGCAGAAATCTACACAGGAATCTTAAAGATGTATTGAAGTTTTGGTGTCATCCCCTCTGATAGTGTCACATGGTACAGTCTGTACCCCCCGGGCCCCCTAGTAATGCTCCTGCCAGGGGGGCCTGCCCGGGGTAGTTGGCAGGCAGCTTCCCATCTGCTTTGACTCTCCCCTCCGTGGATTGGCCTGCTAGGACAGGAGTGTGGGAAGGGTGGTGCATGAGCGCCCCAGGGCTCCCACAGCAGTGCCACACAGTGGGCCACTTGACATGACGGACTTTAACCCTGGCTCCTCACTCACTGACCCGGCCAGGTTGTAAAGAGGCCAGGTCATTCAGTGAAAATCAATGTTAGGGCAGAACGGAGGATGACGACCTCAGATCACGACATGGAGAAGGACTGTCATTACACGCTTGCTGAACCGCTGAGAATCCTCGCCCAGCCCCGTCGACATATAACCTTAACCATCACAACCAGTGTTGCCCTTGCCTAACCCTGAGCACTTCACATTGCCAGATGGATTTTGCTGTTAATGTGCAGAATAGATTGTTGATTCCCCCCCACCCACACACACTTTTGTAAACAAGTGGAAAGTGTTGGATAATGAGATAACTGAAGCCTAGGTGCATTGTTGGAGCCCTGGTGGCAGAGTGGTTACAAGTGGGGCTGTAATCTGAAAGATCAGCAGTTTGAAACCACCGGAGAGGGGCTTTCTACTTCCATAAAGAGCTACAGTCTCAGATACTCAGAGGGGCAGATCCACCCTGTCCTGTAAGGTCCCTATGAGTCGGCATTGTCTCGAAAGCAGTCAGTTTGGGGTTTATTTTAGGTGCATTAGCAATAAATTCGCAGTCCTGCAGAGTGGGAGTCTAAAGTCAGGGTGCATGCAGGACTGGACTCTGTCTGCCCAAGACTGTGGGGGACAATCCTGCACCCCCTGACCTTCCTTAACGTGCAGCTGCAGCATCACATGACCATCCTCCCTCTGTCTCTTTTATAAGGATGCCATGCAGATGGGACTAGGAACCCCCCACTCCAGGGTGACCTTACCTTTATTGATACCATGTTGATACCTATTTCCAGAGTCCTAGGGGTCAGGGATTCAACATGAGTTTTAGAGGGACATAATTCCATCCTGGCCAGCAGGGCTCGTCATCCAGGGGCGGGACTGTGTGTGACAGGTCTCCTGGTGGGGGTGGGGTGGGGGATGGCTTTTACCAGGCTGCTTGGGCTGTTGCTGCCATTCCTTCTGCTTCTGTTCTGTCATGTGCTGATTGTGGATGGGCTAATTAGGACGACCCTCTTCTGGCCACCAGGGGATCCAGTGGACGCCTGTCTACGATTTCTGTGGCCTCAACAGCACTGCACCTCACTGAGAACCGGGCAGGGAGTATGTGGCAGAAGGTGGGCGAGATGGGACTTGAAAATGAGGTGTTGTCGCTCACCTGCTGGCCCTATAGTAGAGCCCGAGGGGCCCAGGCCTGGCCTAGCAGGTGTGCTGGACGCGCACAGCGCACAGAGGGTCTTTGTGGCTGGTGAGCTCATGGTGCCCAGCTCTCAGGCCCTACTGGCCGCTGTGTCTCTCCTCTGTGCATTGTTCATTCATGGCTGCCCGGCCCCGCTCCCGTGGTGCTGCCAGGCCTTCTCCCAGGCTGCTCATCTTTCCCGCGGCTACTTGTGCTTCTTGTCACATAGAGATGCTAACATTTGATTCTGGTGTGTTCAAACCGCTGGTGTTTTCTCTCCTGGCTCTCTGAATGGCGACGCGGCTCCGTCCTCCTGGAGCCTGCGACTGTGTCCAGGTGCTGCTGGCCCGGGCTGACCTAGTCCTGGCGTGAGGTCTGAGCCTGGCACAGCTCCTTTCTCCCTCCCAGGTGGGCTCAGTCTCAGCCCCCGCCTCCCAGCTCTGTCCCCGTCTAGCCAGAGGTGACCCTCCTGGGAAGTGCT